CTTAATTGTTCCTTGACTAGATCGGTGAAACACCTGCATTCATTCAGCATATGTTTATTTTCCGATTAACCATTTAAAATGACTGCCGATTATGAAGTTATACTTTCAGTAAAATACAGCACTCCCACACTGTAATCATGATGAAATCTTGCCGAATATTTGGGTTTCAGAAACCCTCCTCCTCGTTTACCCGACCTCGAACCTTTGAACTTTTATTTACTGAAATACGTAAAAGCTAGTGTGCGCTACAAAATCGGTAGCAGTCACTGAATCCCAAATAGCCATTTAAAAGAATGCATTTGCGTACCAGACAAAATGTTTCTTGATCTTTGCGATTCCTTTGTTTCGCCTTATCGAAGGGGCTAGACCGGAATAGACAACAGTTTGGAAACAGACATCGACAAAATAATTAAACGTTAGTCCGCTCACTCATGAGATATATTTTAATAGGCAGTAGCTTTATAATTGTTTAACGTACTTGATACTTGACATCCTTGACAACATTTTGTTCAGTGGGAGACTTGAAGCAATTACACCTGGCTCTTGTGCACTCTTTCTGTCACACTTTACTTAAAATAATCACTTGCAATAAGACACTGAATTTGCATAGCAGGTATATTTTTTACTGCAGACTACTTCAATCTAGATGGCGTTCTCTGACCAATCAAGCGACCTTTCGGATGATCCCAATTATGCGCTGCTTATTTTCAGTTATACACTGCAGTTTACGCAAATATGTTAGACGAATGTCAGAAATAATTTCCAATTTCATATGTCTTTCTCTGTCCTTTCTATCACCGTTCTAGTAATGTCCTCTTTAATTTTTTGCAGACTGTTATCTGGGGCACAAATGTGAACATTGCTCAAGTGATGGATCGTTTTAAGCGCTTCCTCCTCACTTTCATTCCAACTGATTGGGAAGGTCAACCAGGTCTTACAACTGGCACCCCCCTAGATCTTTCACGCCCTCTCTACGTACAACGCATGGAAGACATGGCTGCGTCTGGTGGCACAACTTTGGACATCGACTGTGAACACTTGCGTCAAGCACAACCCGAACTGTGTAACCAACTGATTACTTTCCCCAAGGAGGTCATTCCTGCGTGCGACGCGGCACTTCATGCCCTCTTCATCGACAGATTCAGAGATGCGCGGCCTGATCGACCATTACAGGTAAGTACAGGAGGCAACAACTCTTCGTCCAGATCTTTTACTAAAATACACCTCCAAAATACCCAGACTACACTCTCACCAAACGGACATCATTCGTAGTGGTACTTCGATACTAGCTCTCTCTGGCCCCTTGAATCTCAGTAGCAACCGATAGCAAAGTCGTTCTTAGAACCTCAAAGGTTTCTGTTAAAAATGTTAAATCTACCTCTTAAGTACGGTTTGGGCCACTTTAATATCATGTATGAAAGAAAATGACCTTCACATTGTACGCAACGCCTTGATGCATGCCACGTCAACGGTCGATGCCAAAGTCTTCGGCCAGTTTTATGTTTGAATGAGAGTTTGTTAAAGTTTCACCGTTCCCTGTTGTTTCTGAAAACCAAGAAGGAACATTGTTACCATCCAAGAATTGCCCAAAGGTATGTGAGAGAACCTATCAATGTTTGGGAAAAAGAAGCACATTTGCACGTCTTCGCCTCCCATTTTTGATGTTCAAACCAGGTTTAAACTGATAACCATCTGGCCTTTTTGTAGTCATTTTTCCATGATAGTTATTCGGAAATTTTCTTAAAATCACAGAAATGCTTTTTGAATTCATATTTTATGTTCACCACTGAAGTAATTTACTAAATTGGCCTGCTTATTTTCTAGGCAAGCCCGTTGGTTCGGTCTAAAGAGGAATTTTCTTACGTGAATGCTTCCTTTGGCTGTGCCTACCAAGTCTCGAATTTTATTTTTTGTTGCATCTAGACGCGACCTTTCAACAGCGATAAGACAAGATCCCTGCGCCATCTTAACCCCGAAGATCTCGACCAATTGGTATCTGTGAGTGGGCTGGTTATACGCCTCTCTGGCCTCATCCCTGAGATGATGCGTGCCGAGTTCAAGTGCGCTGTTTGCGGCGCAATGGCAAGTGTAGTCTGTGAACGCGGTCGCGTCGCGGAGCCGGATGCTTGCAGCAGATGTAATTCTGCCCACACGGCCCAGCTCCAGCACAATCGGTGTCTCTTTGTTGACAAACAACTCGTCAAGCTTCAGGTTGGTCCAGCCGTTTTTACCTGAATATATTGTCTACTGTCAAATATTAGTAGACATTACACGTTTATTATTTTTTAGGAAGCACCTGAAGACATGCCGGCAAGCCAAACTCCGCACACCGTCGCCTTGTACGCGCACGAGGATCTTGTTGATAAGGTCAGACCGGGCGATCGTATCTGCGTTACTGGCATCTACAGAGCCGTCCCATTGCGTCTCTCAACACGTCAGCGTTCATTGAAAGCGGTGTACAAAACGTATATTGACGTTCTGCATTTCCGGTGAGTGGACTACTTTATTGTACGCATCCATTCTGTACGTAAATATTACCACCCACTCGCATTAATTACGACCATCAAGGCAGCCAATGTTGCGGTGGACATTAACATGAGTAAACCTGACACATGCGACTGAACAAAAATTATTACACCCGCATTGGTCAGGACAGTAAGATCCGACATTTATTCCGGCTCCTCGACTTGTTTTGTCTCTAATGACTCTCTTCAGTATCAAGAGAGATGTGTGGGCGCATGTGCCTATCTCGTGAGCACCGTAGAATCGGCATTCTATAACCTAACCATCAGCGACCTCTCGCCAACTATCACCACAGAGAGTCGGACATGCTGCAATTACTTTGTTTTCATAAGAGATTATGGGGTGTTAACAATCTCGGTTTGGGGTATTTTTGTTTACCTCAATACACTCTTTTGATAAGTTCGGCTTCAGCGCAGAGCCAAAAACAAACTTAATCTCACTGAAACAAGATGGCCTTCATGCAGCGGGTAGAAATAACACATTATTTTATCTTACTCGGAAATTCTCTTGTTCTTTCTGTGGCACCTGGAGCCCATAAGTAGAATTTGTGTGAAAAAAATAATTAAAGCATAATCATGATAGCACCTGCCATGCCCTGAAGGTAGGACGTTAGTGGCACACTTAGGGGCATCTCAGACACCAGCCGCCCGAGGCCTTTATGACAATCCCACTCCGTGGGCTCTAAGCTAGGTTTGCCAGCTCCGACTACGCCTCCCACTTGCGCCCTCTCCCGCATTCAGTGTTAGTGAGCCTGTATTGGTACGGGACACATCTTGGTGAAAGAAGCGAGAGTGTGGTAGATGAAACGCAAGTCACATAACACTAATCAACGCGTACGTCACCGTGCCTGCACAACCGCCACAACAGCCTCGGATACGATAGTCGACCTGTCCTACGAAAAGTTGTATTGATGGAACATTTAAGCACCGACGAACGTAA